ATTGTTTCACGTGAAGAAGAAAAAGAAGAAACTGTTACAGAAACTGTTAAAACTCAACAAATTGAAACAACATTTCGTCAAATTGGACAACATCTTGATGAGAGTGCATTTTTTATTCCGCTTGCATCATCAATTAGATATCATGAAGGACAAGAAAATGATGATAGAAAAATAATTATTCCAGTATCAACGTCATCTGTGTCTCATGAACAAAAGCCAGCATTAGAACATTTTTAAATGCTTTTTTTTTCTTATACGCTCTTTCCAAATAATTAAACGATTCATGATATATATATATATGAGAAGGGCTATAACCCACTAATCGTCACATTAAACACATATGCTCATCCTAATTTATTTTGCACTTTCACAGTCTAACGAAACAAAGAGAGAAAGAAAAAGGCACCAGTTGCGACTTTGTAGGCGCTGAATGGAATCAAAAAAACTATAAATAAGCGAGTAACAAATCGGCACTATCATTTTTTTTCCAAGAAAAACGACGCCATGAAAATACAATACTTTATCGTAACTCTACTTCTTCTAAGCTGCGGATGTAGAAAGAACGCAGTTAAAGGAATGAAAATGGTCAAGGTAAACAACCCAGCACCTTCACCAGATGAACCAACAATTCTATCAACGGAACCTCCACATGCACTACAACCGCCAGTTATGAATGCGAGACCGCTCATTCGTACTTTTAACGCACCACCACAAGTGCAATCAAGTGTAGAAGAAGTCAAACCAGCGGAACATGTATCCTTGAATGAGGCACCAGCAAATCAAGGAGCATCATCAGAAACAAAACCAACTGAAGGAGAAGTTCAGCCAGTGAACCCTGAACCGTTGAGGAGAGCACTAGTAAAGAAAGTCGTAGAACCCGGTGAGCATAAAGAAGGATCACCAGAAGCAAAACCAAGTGAAGTTGAAGCTCAGCCAGCTGGAAATCCACCGTCGGAGGAAGTACTAGTAAGAAGAGGCGCAGAACCCGGTGAGCACAAAGAAGGACCAACAGAAGCAAAACCAAGTGAAGTCGAAGCTCAGCCAGCTGGAAATCCACCGTCGGAGAATGTACTAGTAAGAAGAGGCGCAGAACCCGGTGAGCATAAAGAAGGACCAACAGAAGCAAAACCAAATGAAGTTGAAGCTCAGCCAGCTGGAAATCCACCGTCGGATGAAGTACTAGTAAAAAGAGCCCCAGAACCCGGTGAGCACAAAGAAGAACCAAAACCAATTGAAGGAGAAGCTCAGCCAGTGAAATATACACTGCTCAAGGGAGAACCAGTAATTGAAGGCGCAGAACCCGGTGAGCACAAAGAAGAACCAAAACCAATTGAAGGAGAA